GGATGTAAGGTAGATCGCAAGAGTACTAGTGGAACATGCCAATTCTTAGGAAATTCCCTTGTTTCTTGGGCTTCCAAGAAACAAAATTGTGTTGCATTGTCCACTACGGAAGCGGAATACATTGCCGCCGGCTTATGTTGTGCTCAAGTTTTATGGATGAAACAAAGCTTAGTAGACTATGATTTGAACTTTCAAAATATTAAAATCTTTTGTGATAACACAAGTGCTATAAATATTTCCAAAAATTCGGTTTTGCATTCTAGAACTAAGCATATTGATGTGTGCCATCATTTCTTATGCGACCATGTAGAGAGACAAGATGTATCCCTAGTATTTATTGACACAAAATCTCAACTAGCGGATATATTTACTAAGCCTCTTGGAGAGGATGATTTTTGTCGCATAAGAAATGGTTTGGGCTTATGCACTATGTGAAAGTTCTACATTGCTTGCTTGACTAGTTGTATTTTGCATTTAGTATTTCTCTTTACCCCATTTTTGATGGTGACAAAGGGGGAGAGAAATCTCCTCATTTGTTGCATATATTTAGGGGGAGCTCATAGATAGGGGGAGCACCTATCTATAAGCTATTTTATTTTTGCTCTTATAATGGTTGGTTGTCATCATCAAAAAGGGGGAGATTGTTAGCCCTTATGTTTTGATGATGTTTTACAACCACCATTATCGGTACTAATGGCTTATTGAGTATAAATGTAGTAAATTCATTTGTCAAGCTCGTTAGTGCCATTAATGGAGGATGGATGGAATATATGCTACAACGAAGATATCCAAAGGAGGAGGAGGCCAAGAGATGAAGCAACGTTATTTCAAGAACGACAAATTCGATCAAAAGCTTCATCCGATTCAAGCTATATCAAAGCTCAAGTATATTGCTCTCTATATGAGGATATTAGCTTTCTTTTGTTTTTCTCTCTAGTGCTAGAATGTAGGCAAAGAGTTACTGAGTTTACTTGAAGCTATTGGGAATCACACACACGTTTTTAGACTTGTGCTTTTAAGCGTTTTTCACAAAATACTATTTTTCACAAGTTTGAGTACCTATCTGCAAAATTCTTTTTCCAAGCAGTTTGTTTTTAGTATTAAAAACATTTTACAAAGTTTCAGAATTTTCAGAGGTCAAATGAATATTTTGCAAATATTTCAAGTTGGTCAAAAATCAGATTTCAGAAAATATCAGAAAGGGTCGTAGCGGTTGCCGGCTCGACGGCTCCCTTATAGTCATCTTGTCAGTATTCTTCGCAGAAAGAGCGTCGGTCGAAGCACGGCTGCGGTCGACCGAATTCTGACGATTTTCCATTTCCGGTCGACCGACGCCGGTCGACGATGATGGCTCTGCTTGTTTTCCTATGTTTTCAAAGCGGCTGCGGTCGGACGTTTTAGGTCGGTCGACCGACTAAATTTTTCGGTCGACCGAAGGATTATTTCATACGACCGAAATTCCCTTTAGTCAACCGCGACTTTTTTTTAAACGGTCATTTGCCTAGTAAACTGCGCTTACACTTAACTGTGTTTGGCACAGTCTGAGATAAGGGTCTGTAAAGGAGATTATTATCCTATTTGGGAAGATTGGGTTTTGTTTTAAATTGATTTAATCTCTTCTATAAAAACCCCAGACTTCTTCTTCTCCCTCAGCCCTCTTCCTCCTTAGCCCTAACGTTTGCAAAAACCAGAGAGTCTGCTGTTTCTGAGAAAAATTTTCAAAGTCTGGTTTCTGTGTTTTCTCTCTGTTTTTAAGTGTGATTCACTTCCCAGCTTCAGTGCTCTTTATCTTTGCTATAGGGGCTGTGTAAAGAGAGAGTCTTGCATCTTTTCTTCTGCTGTGTGAGTGAGATCTTGTGTAGATCAACTGTGAGGGAGTGTGATCTGTTGAGATCAAACTGTGTAGTGAGAGAGATCGTGTGGGATCGTTGTGTAGACGAAGTTCCGGCTTCCAAACCGGGTGTGGAGTGGATTTCTCCTCGAGAGTGGGGAGCGGGGATGTAAGTCAGTGGGCCGAACCTCGTTAACACATCGCGCGTCAAGGATAACGATTCCTAACCCTATCTCTTTTACTTTAAATTGCATTACTGTTTTGTGGTTTGCTTGTGTTTGATTTTTATTGCATATTAGAGCCTCTTGACCCTAATCCCCCCCCCCCCCTTAGGGTCCAACATTTCCATGGAGATGACTGGAGGATTTTGAAGGGCGCAATGACGATTGCCAGAGGCAGGAAGACTGGTACCCTGTATATGATAGCAGGTGCACGTTGTTCGATCTCAGTTGCAGCAGGTAATAAGACTTCAAAGCTGTGGCACCAGAGACTCGGTCATATAAGTGAAAAGGGGATGAAGGTTATGCACACAAAGAGAAAACTCCCAGGTTTACAATCAGTAGAGATTGATATGTGTGAAGAATGCCTACTTAGAAAGCAGAAGAGAGTTAGCTTTCAGACAAGTAGCAGACCCCCCAGGAAGCAGAAGCTAGAGCTTGTTCACTCAGATGTTTGGGGACCAACAACCACCGCGTCGATTGGTGGGAAACACTACTTTGTGACTTTTATTGACGATCACTCTCGGAAAGTGTGGGTCTACTTTCTGAAGAAAAATTCAGAAGTGTTTGAGGCTTTCAGAAGATGGAAAGCCATGGTCGAGAATGAGACCGGTTTGATGGTAAAGAAACTCAGAACAAACAATGGAGGTGAGTATGAAGACATCAGATTCAAGAAGTTCTGCTATGAGCACGATATCAGAATGGAGAGGACCGTGCCCGGCACGCCTCAGCACAATGGTGTGGCTGAGCGCATGAATAAAACGTTGACAGAAAGAGCCAGAAGCATTCGGACGCAGTCAGGCCTACCGAAGCAGTTCTGGGCAGAAGCAGTCAACACAGCAGCTTACTTGATCAACCGAGGTCCATCGGTTCCATTGGAGCACAGAATAGCAAAAGAGGTATGGTACGAAAAGGAGGTAACCCTCTCACATCTCAGAGTTTTCGGTTGTGTAGCTTATGTGCATATAAGTAATCAAGGCAGGAATGAGCCTGATCCCAAGTCTAAAAAATGCACATTCATCGGGTATGGTGAAGACGAGTTCGGCTACCGCATTTGGGACAACGAAAACAAGAAGGTGATCAGGTGCAGAGATGTGACATTTAACGAGAAGGTGATGTACAAGGACATGCACAAGACAGATGACGGTGACTCAGAGAGTGATTCAACATTTGTAGATGCAGATGATGTCCCAGATAACCTCTCTGAAGAATCCAATGCAGAAGGTCCTCAGCCAGAAGAGCCTGTTGGACAGAACAGTGCGCAGGAGCCCGACGCACCAGCTCCGATATTGAGGAGAAGTACTCGTCCTCCTGTGCCTAACAGCAGATACATGAATTATATGTTGCTGACAAATGGAGGAGAGTCTGAAAGCTTTGATGAAGCTTGTCAGAGTGGAGATGCGAGCAAGTGGGAGTTTGCTGCGAAAGAAGAGATGAAATCTCTGATCTCCAACCAGACATGGGAACTAGCTAAGTTGCCCATGGGGAAGAAGGCGCGTCACAACAAGTTGGTGTATCGAGTGAAAAAGGAGCAGAATGGTTCCAGAAGATACAGATCCCGACGAGTTGTCAAAGGATTTCAACAGATTATCCAAGGAAGAAAGAATCCAGCGGATATGTTGACAGAGGTAGTGACCTCTCAGACACTGGAGTTGTGCGCAACTTCAGTTGGCCTTCATGCATAGATGATGAGGGCGGAGCCACACAGGAGAGAAGTTTGATGAGATAGCCTGTTGGCGTCGGTTTGGTCTCCAAGTGGGAGATTGTTAGGTTGGGGGTGGATACCAACCTCCGCCGGCGGAGGAGCTCCGATGAGCTCCAGGATGGCGTAGGCAAAGCTCGAGCAGTTGAGCTCGAAATTGGCGAACGCGATGGTGGCTTTGGCGAACGCGACCCTCGGTTGGCGAACGCGACCCTCGGTGTTTTGGCGGCCCGACCCCCGCGTTCAGAGCTCCGACCTCCGCGTTCAGCGCCCCACGCTCGCGGTTTTGGCCTCCGACCATCGCGTCCGAGTTCGTGCGCTGGCGACAGGCTGTCGCCAGCCCATCAATGTTTCGGCTATAAAAAGCCCCTTTGATGCCCTAGGGTGCTTTGCTCCTCCTCCCCGACTTTTCTCTGGCGGCGGATCCCCCTTTAATGCAGCAGCGTTCATCTCCTAAAATCGCAGCAGCGATTTTCCCTTTTGATCTCCAGCTCTCAACAGTTTTGAGGGGAGATAAAGAAAGGATTTAAGAAGAGAGAGAAAAGAGAAAAGGGGATTTTATAGTGGGTATTAACACTGTAGCTACAGTGTTCATTTGAGGAATCTCAGTTTAGAGATTTGCTCTTGATTTGTAATTTCTTGTTAGATTAAATAAGAAATTGACTGTGTGGCTCCCGAGGACGTAGGCAGTTGCCGAACCTCGTAAATCTTGGTGTACTTTTTCTATTCTGCGTTTCCGTTGCATTAGGGGTTTAGGCGTTAAATTCCCAACATCCTCCTCCTCCGTCCTTCTCATGATCCAGGAGTGGACCCCGTCCTGCCTCCTCCTTCTCCATTGTTTTGAAATCGCAGTAGTTTCTCTCTCTCTCTCTTTTTGCGGCAGATTCGGATGAATCTAGGGGTTTCAAGTGAAATGTAACTCTTCTATCCTTTAATTTTTGTTGCAAGTAAAACTAGAGTTTTCCTCTTATTTTTCTAGTAATTGTTATACTTTTTTTATTTTTAAGTATATCTAGGGTTTTCACGATGCGGATACTGAAAAACATTAAGCATGAATGAGAGGAGTTCAGACTCTGTTGCAAACTGAATAGTAAGGAGGAAGAAAAAATACTAAGCTTAACATATTTTTGCCATAAAGCTCTATTTTTTCATGGGTCGGGATGCGTTTTTTTTTTCACATTAAATTAGCGACAAAGTGACAACCGATGTGGAAAGTAATTGTACCTATGGAAGTTGAAATGTTGACAAAATTTGTTAATGAAGGCCAAACTCAGAACGAGTTAAGTAATAATGATATGTAAAAGAAATTGAGAGAAGAGTAATTGTCGTTCATTTTTCTTAGTCAATGTTTATGGAGAGGCTATGAAGATTAATGTTGCCATCATTCACAGGTAATGTTATGTGTTAAATGATATGTCTTTTTAATTAAAATTTGCCAGTTGTTAGCTTATGTGTTAATTTTATCAAATATATTAGATTTGGTAAAATATGTTTTCTTTCCATTATATGAAGCTAGTCTTTTCTTTCCATTATATGAAGCTAGTCTTACTTAAAATCTGCACTTTATCAGGCAACATTGCCTCAATCAGGATCCCTTGCGTTATGTAGGAGATATGTTAGGATGGCTCCATCAGGTCTGCTTGTTTGTTTTGTGCTTGGAATCTGAACCTAATTTTAATTACATTGTAATGAAATTAACTTCTTGATCCTTTGGTTCCAGTTGATTTATCCTCACCATCAGCAGTAAGGGAAGGTGTTTCTTTGCTGCTTGAGCTTATTGATACCTATGATGGCATGATGGTTCCTGCATCTAGGAAGAAGCCTGACTTTGATCCTGTGATTGCTGCTTTACTGGATCCTATAATTCAGGTATGCTTCAGATTTTAAAAGCTCTGACATGCACTTGGAGCCAAACTTCATACTAACATGTAACTGAAAACAGTGAAGTGCCAACATATCAAAAGCTGTCTTGGTAGGCTTCACAAATAGCTTACAAGATTTATGCCTTGATTAGCAATGTCACTGATTTTAAAGTTCCTTTTTGTTGATGTTACTTGTAATTAAATTGGTGTATGCAAGAGAAAATTAATGACATGTAACAGGTGGTTGCACTAGTAAAAATTCTCATATCCTAGATGGAATATTCTAGACGGAATATTCCAGTTAAAATTGAACCATATACAGTTTTTCCCAACCCAAATTATTAGGAGTCAGAATGAGTTTTGACATGGGACAAGGCGAACTTAGAAGCCAAATGACACATTGAATGGACATCAAGGTGCTGATATATCCATTGCTTAGACCTGTAAGCTTTTGGTTGGGTTGTGTATTTAACGTTATTGCTCACATTTCATACTAATTCTAAACAAGATGCTTCTATTGAGTACTTTTTTGTTGTTGTTTTGCTGGCATGCATCTGTTTTATTAAAATGTCAGTTAATCATGATGATTCACATGTCCTACAATAATCGGATTGTTCATCTTCCTTTGATATGAGTGGCATCACAAATTTTAAGGCATGTGGTTCATGGCATTTCCAGTCTTGGATTTATTTATCTTTGATTTTGAATGATAATATATCTTTGTTTTTGAATGATAATATCGATGGTAAAGGCATGCATGATGGTGGGGCTGAAGGGAATCGTTCCAAGAAGGTGAAAAGCGAAGATACATGCAATCATTCTGACAAAGGCGAGGAAGATGTTGAAGAGGAAGAGGCAAGGAAGAATAGACTTGGGCTTAATAAGAAGAGTGGTGATGATGATGAGTTGATTGCGAAGGGAAAATCCTATGTGAATTCATGTAAATAACTGACGTAAAAGTTGGTAAACAATTTTTTTCTAGTATTTTGGTGAATGTATTATTGGAATATAATTAGATTTAATATTGGAATATAATTAGATTGTGTTGGATATGAATATAATTTAGTGTTGTTCAACATTGTGTACATGCACCCAAAGCAGATTCTTAAAAAAAAACTGTAGCATAGCATCCTAGACGGAAATTCCATCTAGGATGCTCAAATTCCGTCTAGGATAGCTTTTTTTAAATTTAGAAAAATTAAAAAACATCCTTCCGTCTAGGATGATTATCCTAGACGGAAATTTCCGTCTAGAATACTCATCCTAGACAGAAATTTTTTCCGTCTACGATGAAGTATTCTAGACGGAATTTCCGTCTAGAATATTCCGTCTAGGATGTATTCTAGACGGTTTTGAATTCTAGACGGAATTCCGTCTAGAATAATCATCCTAGACGGAATTTTGTGCATCCTAGACGGAATTTTCCGTCTAGGATGCCTAATTTTTTAGCAGTGGTCCGTCTAGAATATTCCGTCTAGGATGTATTCTAGACGGTTTTGAATTCCGTCTAGAATATTCCGTCTAGGATGTATTCTAGACGGTTTTGAATTCCGTCTAGAATATTCCGTCTAGGATGTATTCTAGACGGTTTTGAATTCCGTCTAGAATATTCCGTCTAGGATGTATTCTAGACGGAATTTCTATCTAGAATACTACATCCTAGACGGAAACTTCCTAGACATGTATTCTAGACGGAATTCCGTCTAGAATACCCATCCTAGACGGAATTCTGAGTATCCTAGACGGAATTTTTCATCTGGGATACCTTATTTTTTACTTGTGTCTCTCTAACTAGTTCAGAAAAAAGAATTAATCACGATTCTCTCGATATAATTTCTCTCTAAAAGACTTAGAAAAAAAATTATAATTCCCTCAATCGGTTTCCCGAATTATAAAAGAAAGAAGGGTCAACGAAGATCCTTTTCTTTGTTTAACCTGGGTTCTTCTTGGTGTCGATGAGATGCCTCCCTCGAAACTCACGTCGAGTTTGCTTCTCGTTGAAGATCCAACGTTTCACCTCACTGGATTGAAGTCGATAAAACTTACATGGCAAGTTTAAAAATAACTCTTAACGAGTTTAAGAACTCTACGCGAGTTTAAACTCTGTAGAAGAGTTAATTTGAACCAAAATTTGGTTAATAAACCAAGTGTCAAGACTCCAAGGAGTTATGTTGCCGAAGAATACTTCCAGATCAGATGATTGAAGAAGCTCTTTGCTGATATCTAGATCCAAAATGCTCAAAAGATCTAAAGATCCGAACTAAGCTGATCTTTCAGCTATTTATAGGTGATTAGGGGGTGTAACCGCCCCTAAAATCGCTTCTTTGTGTAGCTTATGGGATGTAACCACCCCTTAAATCATTCCTGAGTGGAGTTGTGATCTCCTTAGATCGTGAGAAACGGTTTTAAAACCGTTCAGCTCATGTTTGAACCAGTCAAACGCAAGAATTGTGTTTTAGCATGAATTCTGCGTTCAAAGGTAGCATTTGGAATCTTAAACGCAACGTCTAGAAGCTGCATTGGCAGCAGTTTGGAAGCTGTGTTTGGCAACGCTTGGAAGCTGTGTTGGTAGCTGAATCTGAGCTGTGTCTGTAGTGTTCAGAGGCTGCGTTTGCGGCCGAACATGAGTTGTGTTGATAGCTGGATCTGAGCTGCGTTTGCAGCGTTTGGAGCTGAATGTGAACTACGTTTGTGACAAGGTTTGAGCTGCATTTGCATTGCTTTGACTCTGGAATGAGGCCACTTACATTTTGATTTGAAGATACCGTCAATTTGTAGTCTTTTTTGCTAGAGCGTTGCAAAGATCGTCATCTTGTAACATTCATCTTGGCTCCTTAAAAACATGAGAGTCGTCAGATTATAACTCCCGATGTTGACTATGAAGGTTGTTGAATTAGAGCTTTCATTGGTTGTTATGAAGGATATCAGATTATAACCTTCATCGATCTACGTGAAAGTTTATAAATTGTAACTTTTTGGAAGCCGTCAAATTGCAATTTCCATCCTCGGTGTTTGATGGGGATTAGCTATCTGCAGTAATTTTTAGATAACCTACACTCATATGAGATACTTCATTTCTTATTTTAGACATCAGATGTATTTCCATTTATTCAGTTGAGATATGATTTTATTTATGAGATATATCTTTTTACATCATGTTTATTGCATATACTTTCCCTTATTTTGCATGTTTTATACATGTACTTATATTTGATTCCACTAAAGGATATTACTATGATGGGTGAAATGTGTTGATGCACAGTATGGGTGCATGACAGGTTTGACATCTCTGGGTTCATCTTAAACTGTAGCCATGTGTGAAAATAGGGGCGTCACAGTTGGTATCAGAGCTCTAGTTCCAGCATCCTTAGGATCATTCATGCGTCAAGTCATGGAGCTAGTATAGAGTTTCCTAAGAATCATGTATAAAGTCCGCTAAAAATTCCTAGATTGAGTGAGGACGTTATATATATATAGTATTCTAGTAATTATAAAAGATCAATAATAATAAAAAATGATGAAAAAATAATAATATAATAAAGAATAAATACTAAATAAATAATAAAAAATAAAAAATAATAAATAATAAAATAATAAAATAACATTATATAAATATAATAATATATATATATTATATATCTTATATCGGAGTGATGGTCCGATGGGTAGGAATCATACCCGGAGAGCTGGACAAGCAAAGCCCGAGCCACAGTAGGCTCCACAGTATTTGATCGACTTGGTAACGCCGATTGCAGAAGTAGAGACTAGAAATAATCGAGGAGCGAGTAACGAACCAGACTTCACTTTCTGAAGTTCTACCACCAGTCGTACTAGTTGTGCCTGTTGAAGATGTAATACCGATGACTACACCATCACCACATCCAGCTATTAATAGAGTAGCAGAGCGCGAAGCTTGACTCGGTAAGATTAAGGAAGATATTAGAAGTTGTGAGCACCGAAATTTTAGGACACATTAGATTCAGTTGCAGTTTATAAAAGGAAGAAATATGTGGGAAGTGTTACTAGATATACTTAACGTCGATTCAGTACATAAGTAGAGGTTAGCTATATTCAGCTTAAAGGGCAACGCCGGAGGGTAACATCGACTTCAGTTTGCACCGGAGCAACGAATGTCAATTACATAGGAGGATTTCACCTACTACTTCGATAAATAGCTAAAACTAGCTGATTAGAGCAGGGAAACATACTGATAGTTAATTATAAAAACAGGACTGTCTGGAGACAAGGGCAATGGCAAAAAACCTTTTGCAAGACTTAGAAGACCCTAGCAGCAGGGCAAGAATTTTCACACCAGTAACATAGACAAGGACACGGGCAGCAGCAGAACTATGGTCAGGATAGCAGTCGCAGGGCCGCGGTTACGATCAACAGTCACAGAGGATAGAGGCACCACCTGCCATTCTGAGGATTGAGGGGCCAGCAAGTCAGATTCGCGCAATCCAGGAGATTCCTAAGGGATAGATAGTCTTATATGTTCCACCGCCAGTAGTTCAGCATTCGCTAGCTACCAACAGAATTTATGCAGTCGTACCACGTGATCATAGTGCGAGTGGAGCCATAGTGGAAGGTACTTTCTTAGTGAATTTGTTTCCTGCTCGGATCTCATACCTTCATGGATAGACTTCAGTTAGTCGCACATCCCTTAGACATCCTGTTATCCATCTCTACTCCTTTAGGGGGGCATCCCTATTAGAGAGTGTCTATAGGAGATGTGTCATCAGTCTTGATGAGTTCGAGTTTATTATGGATCTGACCATTTAATGGATGTCGGATTTTAACATCATTCTCAGTATGGATTGGCTATCATCCTATCATATCAGTATAGACTATTTTGCTAAAACAGTTAGCTTACGGGGATCCGATGGGTCTGAGTTGATATAGCGACCTCACAGGGTAACAAGTTTGCGGAGTTATTTCTGGCGTACATCGAAGATGTGATGCTGAGATATCAGAGTGTCGATTTATACGAGACTAGAGTTGTCTCAGATTATTAGCATATTTTTCAGGACTTACATAGGTTACATCCTGTAAGAGAAAGCATGTTTTTCAGGACTTACCTGGGTTACATCCTGTAAGAGAGGTTGAGTTCTGCATCGAGTTACAACCCGACATAGCACCGATATTCTGAGCACCCTATCGTATGGCACCTACTGAGATGAAAGAGCTACAGACTCAGCTAGATGAGCTTTTGTCTTAGGGTTTTATTCGCCAGAGTCATTCTCCATGGAGAGCACTAGTCCTTTTCATGAAGAAGAAGGACGGTAGTATGCGCTTATGTATAAATTATCATGAGTTGGACAATGTCACTATCCGGAACATATATCCACTATAGATGATTGACGACTTATTCGACAAGATGCAGGGAGAGTAGCATTTCTCAAAAATTGATCTTTGTTCTGGCTATTATCAGTTGCGAGTTTGGGAGATGGATATTTCCAAGACCGCCTTTCTAACTCGATATGGGTCCTTCGAGTTTCTTATCATTCCATTTGGGTTGACCAAGCACCTGCGGTATTCATGGATTTAATGAACCGAGTTTTCCTTCTATATTTGAATAAATTTGTGATCGTATTCATCGATGATAATCTTATCTATTTGAGATCGGAGGCAGAGCACGAACATCTTCGATTAGCATTACAGACATTATGAGAGCATCAGTTATACACCAAGTTTAGTAAGTGCAAGTTTTGGCTTTCTGAAGTTAGATTTTGGGCCACGTCATCAGCAAGGAGGGTATTACAGTAGATTCAGCAAAGATGGAGGCAATACTTGATTGGATTTTGGGCCACGTCATCAGCAAGGAGGGTATTACAGTAGATCCAGCAAAGATGGAGGCAGTACTTGATTGGGAGCCGCCGAAAACCGTTTCAGAGATTCGTAGTTTCTTGGGTTTGGCAGGCTATTATAGG